ATATGCTGACTTGATATCCAAGAAAGCGACAACAGGACGACGACGGTGCGCAACAAAGTAATCATGCATCAAGTCATGCAAGCAGAGGGCTTGATCCAGAGGACTACGTTGAGGGCGGAAACCACCTTGGGCAATGTCAAGGGCAGGAGAATGGGCATCCAGCTCAGGCATGAGAGAGAACTCAAACAGTTTGCGCACAACAGAAGTCAGAGAAATAGGCCTATAGTTGGCGGGATCAGAAGCATCACCTTTCTTGAAGATGGGGAAGACTTGGGCATGACGCCAGAGAGCAGGAGTATACGACCATTGGTAACACAGAGTGAACAACAGAGATAACACCGGAGCAATCTCAGAGACCAAGGACTTGAGCATCTCAGCTTTAATATGATCTGGACCAGGAGCTTTATGTGTTGGGAGCCGCTGAATGTGAGATACAAGAGTATCAACATCGAACAGTGACAAATCCACAGGCACACAAAAAGGCAGAACAGAGTCAAAAGTGGGGGGAGCAGCAGGACGAGTAGCAGTGGCAAGCAGAGAGCCATCATACACCGAAGCGAGATGAGAACCCATAGCAGTGACAGAAGCAGCAGGACCGTCGGGATGACTGTAGGTAGCAGAAGACTCTTTGTTACGCTTGATGCGCTTGATAGCAGCAGTAGCTTTTGAGAAATCCTTTTCTAGAATACCACAGAACTGTTTCCAGGACCTTCGCTTTGCAGCTTGCACCAGGGAGCGAAACTTGCGATGCGCAATTTTGTATAAGGACCATTTTTCAACTTTGACAATACCAAAGGCATGCCTCCATTGACTATAAGAGTGATCACGTACAGTAGCAGCATCCTGAATTTCTTGCGTCCAGTACTTCTTCCAATGGCCAGGACGACCAGATTTCACACCAATAGAACTATCCAGAGATTCATACAAACATTGATTCAAAGAATCGTTGAGTGCATCAATATCTGGACGAACACCAGGAGGAGCAGACACCAAACCAGAAAGAGTACCAACCAGAGGAGCAACAGAAGATCGAAAGGATTCACGGAGTAAGCCCAAAGGCTTCTCTTTCGTCAATTTCGAGAGCTTCCATTGACGCCGAGGAGCCAGAACAGAATCACCAGGAGCCACAGTGTCATCGAGAGGTGGCACATACCCGAAAGTAAGTGACATCAATCGATGGTCAGAACCAAGAGACAGATCAGACTCAACCACCAGTTGAGGATTCACCAAAGCAACATCACCAATATTTGTCAAAAACAAATCAATGATACTACTCAATTCTTGTTGCTGCCGAAAAGAAGAGTACGTCGTAACACCAAAAGCCAAAGACGCATTGAGTACAGACAAGCAGTGTTCATCAAACCAAGGTTTGAGAGCATTACCACGAGCATTAGAGATAGCATCACCAGTGAGAGAACCCAACCGAGCATTGAAATCGCCACATAGAATAGTATCCCTAGTCATAGGTAATGAACTAAGGGCCGAGAGCACCTTATCAGATAATAAGGGTGGAGGTAAGTATACACAATGGACCGTAAGGGAGCCAACCTTAAGGGACAAAGTATGCGGATTATAGGATGGGAGTTGATAGACAGAGTAAGGACAGGAAGGAGAGACAAAAGCAGTAATACCACCAGAACCACGGTTGAAGGCACCAGGTACTTTCGAACCGTAAAGATGGTATTGGGACCAATCTGTAGGAAAAGAGCCAGAAGTTAGCCAGGTTTCAGTAACCAGCAAGACATGAGTATCCAGGACATGAGAGAGAACATCGTGAATCACTGATTGACGAAGACCATTGGCATTCCAAAGAGAGAGAGAGACAAATAAGGAGTGGACAGGGTTATCATTTTGGGTATACAGTATCGAGGACTCAGTGGTGGAACACATTATTGTTCCATAGCAGAATCTTCATTGGCAGAGTCAGCATTAATCTTGCGACGGAACAAGAAGTTAGCCCTCTTGGGTTCCTTCTTTGCAAAGCGTTGAATGGCATCACCAACAGAAACAAAAAGGTCTTCGTCACAAATCCAGCCTTGCTCAACAAAGTACTTACCAACACCACTGACATTCAGAGGACGTAGGAAAGCTAAGGTTTGCAGACACCGAGCAGCAGTAAATTCCATGATCAAAGCAGTACGTTGATCCAGAGTCAAAGAGTCATACTTAGGATCAGCTATGTTAGCAGGGTCCAAAGGGTCAAAGTCGAAGAAGAATTCAGCCTCACAAGCCTCCAAAAGTGCAGTAAAATCCTGAACATATTGCACATGCACCAGGATGCCAATAACATCGGATGCTGGGAAACAGATGTCAAGCACACGACCCAAATCAACGCCGGCTTTGCGCAAGAGAGAGCGAACTTCAGAGCGTGCAATCTTCTTAGATCTACCAATATAAACATATTGGTAACCTTGAGGACCTTTACGAGCAGCAGTTGTAAAGGCGCGACCAATAGCAAGACGCTTCTTAGCTTGCTTAGCTTCAGTAGCAGGATCAGGAAGAGTAGCAGCAGCCTTTGCGACATTTGCATAGCTAGGTGATTTAGTAGCCTTAGTATTCATAGAGCCAGTAGTAGTTTTGAGGGTTGACCCCTCTACCGCCGTGGGCCGACTCGAACCAGAGGGGACCACGTGACCGGAGACTGCACCCTGCAATTTTTGAATTGCAAGGTCCTTGTCCTGTAAAAGTTTTTTCAACTCTGAATTCTCTTTTTCCAGAGTATCTAAACGAGCAAGAAGACCATCATGTTCGTTGACGCGAGCAGTAACCGAGGTAAGTTGTTCTTGGAGCTGATTAAGAATCATTTGAAGCTGATTCATATCCATACCCTGTAGATTGGTGGCCATGACGGAGAATATTTTTTTATAAATTTGAAAATTTTTAAAAAAATATCAAGGAGATGTTCGACAAATTTGAAACTATAACACAATAAACTGTTACCAAAGGCAAGCAAAGTTGTGTAATTTCGAGTTGTTGGAGTTGGTAGTTATCGAGGAAATACGTTTTTTCTAGTCTGGAACAACTTTTTTCCGAAAACGGTGGCAAAAAGTGTTGAAAAACGGAAAGAGATGCCTAGCTAGCTCAGTTTAAAGATTGTTTTTATTTATTTACAAATGTAGTCAACTGCGGAATCGGTATGATCATATGTTGCAAGACTAACAGTGATTCGGCGGGGAAAAGCATGTTTTAAATTAAAGGTTTGAGGGAAGCTGCTAAAGGGAGGGGACCAGTAATGAAAACGGCATCAAAACCCACCAGAGAAGAGGAGAAACAGAAGGAAGAATGGCAATGGCCGCGCCGCAAGACGGGGGAGACGAACAGGACTCAAGGTAGAAACCGGCCAGACGCACCGCAGCACACCTAAACGTGCAAGCGCAAGTACCGAGTAACATGCCAGGTTAGAAAGGCGGAAAATATGGATGCGAAGGTGGGATTCGAACCCACGACCTCTCGGCATACTCACTGCTTCCGCATGAAGCTCTAACCAAGTGAGCCATTCAAGCATCCATGCCTAGCTAGCTCAATCGGTAGAGCGTGAGACTCTTAATCTCAAGGTTGGGGGTTCGACCCCCCCGTTGGGCTTATATTTTTTGCTTCATGTACGAATTATAACGTCTCATGTATCGTAACTGTTTATCTCGTATGAAGATCAGAGCTTATTGTCAAACTCAACAAACGTTGTTTTAATACTTGTAGCTGATTTATTGTATTAATACTTATATTGTTATTACGACAATAGGTATAGTTAATAAAGTAGATAACAGGTGATGTTTTATTGTTTACAAACTGATTTGATATTTAGGCGAACTAAAAGGTTACACACAAAGTCTGTGTGTATCCGACACATGTAAGTCTTTTTGCGTTTGTTTAAGGTTATGCGAAGCTTCTCGCTTAACTTTTGATCTACAAGGATAAAACGCTACTATAAGATTTGGAATAGAGTAAAATATATGCAGTTTAATAAGAAAGAGTAAAGACTGTCGATAAATTAGCCAAAGCAGGTCTGTCTATAGAATGAGCACCGAATTTATAGTTGCCCAACTTGTAAAGAGTAACAAATTAACAAGAATAGGTAGAAGATAGAATAAGAAAAGTAGATAAAGTACAATGAATCAAATAGTCAAACGTATAAGTCAGATTCAAGGAATTCCTTGAATAAAATATGCTTAATTATAAGTAATAACGAGAATAATGAGCTGTAATAGCCATATAGATAAACCCTGAGGTAAAATATAAGATTGAGCTAAAAGATGACGTTTATTGATAGAATTGATTACAAAATATAATAGATGGCCTTATAAAAATGACTCATATGGTCTTGTTCAAATGATGTTTGCTCTAGCAGAGATATTTCTGGTCGATGTTGTCTTGATGATTCTTCAATAAAGTACTTTGGGAGTTGATAGAAGAATTAGTATAGTTAAATTGGAAGATGTCTGTCAAGATGGAACGTTTGATTTGGTTACGCAAACATGGCTTTGAATGATTTGAGTCGACAATAGAAACTGACAAGCAAAATATGTGATTATAGATGATTGTTCCGCGCTTCAGTTATTATGCATAAGCTTCTGTATAAATTTTCTAGTCGATGGATGATATTTGGTAATTTATGAGTCATAATTTATTGAATATATATTGGAGTATAAGAATTGGAAGAGCAAAATGGGCAAACTGATAAAATAAATTGTTAAAAGACATTAGGGCGTCAGAACCATATCGATTCGTAACAACACGTTACAGCTACTGGATCAAAGAAAAAGCAGTTGTTGAGCACTATATTTATGAATGATGGATTTATGCATTCAACTCCTCAAGATGTAGGATGTCTAAAAACGCATACAATATGGTAATTTCTCACAATTTTAACAAATGAAAGCGATGATGTAAAGCTTGATATATTGAATAGGTTGGATGGGAGGAGATGTTATGTACACATATAGTTCATGCATAAAGTAATACAGTAGATGGGTTGCAGATGAGCACAACAAAAAAGCACTCGACTAATTTGTTGTGGACCATTCCCAAGATAGAATGCTACTAACTGCTGATAGGCCAGCGGCATATTGATAGACAGATGTGTATCTTTCAAGTGGGTCATCAGTGAGTGCATTGATCAAATTTCCCATAAATAGCACGCCTATCGCAGGACCTAGACTACTATACAGAGCAGCCATACCGCCCTTCAACATCATTCTTCTACGATCAGTCAAGATAACAGAGTCTACTTGATGTGCTGCTAATAGCCATATAAACTGAAATGATACACCTAATAAAAGTTGAGTTTCTCTGGTTGCTGTATCAGTTCAAAACTTACATTGCAAGAATTGGAGAAGAATGACAATCAGCTTCGTAGAGAAAACCTCAGGTTGCAGCCACGTGTAGGTTAATGTGCATAAAACCAGAATAATATGAGCCATTCCAATGATCACTGGAAGTGAGAAGTTTTGAATAATCTAAAGTTGCAATATATATCATCAATTCATGGTGAAGAGGGCTTTATTCGCTCTTTTCTAATTTCTCATCTCTCCACACTTTCTGTCGTTCCGAACCTTCCGCTTCACAAGTATTATCACCCACTTCTATCTGTTGTGTACTAAAGAAGAGAGACTTACCCTGATCACTAATTTGCTTGCCAAGATATCTGCAGATATCGTAGCAAGGCCAACGACACCAATAAGATGCATAGGAAACTTTAGGTTGTCGTGTAAATGTATGTAAAGCAAGGATTGGGTCATTCCAAATACTATACCCAAACAAAGAGTTGAGCATATGAATGACTTTAGTATCCATTTAGACTGTTGTTGGTAATGATGTGTCGCAAGGCTGCATTGATGGTAATAATCATCTTCAGCCACCACTGTAGCAGAGATTGGTATTTGATTTGTAGGTTGATGTGAAGATTGATTTTGATGGTATCCCGGAATAAGTGTGATCAATACAACAGCAGGAGATTGCGCTGGAGGATAAGGAAGTCTAGCTAATTCGAATGACGGCGGCGAGTTTCCCAATTCATAGTTGATCTGGTAAGGATTGTATTGGGAAGGGTGTTGATAGGAGGCAGAATGCATTGTAGATGGTAGAGTCGGATGGAAAAAGCAAGCAGAATCCTCATATTCTGTAGCTGCAGCAGGTGCAGCAGTGCCAGGTATATGCTGATTGTTGTGTAAATGTGTCGTGGTGTTTGTAAGATACGACAATCCACTACAAACACTAGCAGGCCTTGGTAGTGGTTTGATGGATACAGAATTGTTGGCTGTTGTCATGCGCTGCAACATGCTTGCATCTTCTTCAGAGATATGAGACAGCTGCTCTCCGAATAAACTGTATGGCTTGTAATAGACACAAGAGCTGGATGTATTTGTTCGCTGTAAAGCATGTTTTGCTAAAGGCGTTGTTTCATCTACTTCGTTACAGGTTATGCCCAATAGGCTTGGGTCAGCAGCCTGCACCGTAGTGGACAGAGAAAGTAGAAATAGAATGACGGATCCGATCAAAATAGTAACCATCAAAGTATCAAAATCATGGTCGTCGTTCAAAGACCATCCAATGCCTAGCGTCATTATAGCAGACACCCATTTACCATATTGCCTCTCGTTTTCTTAAGTAAGTGATTAGTATAGATCCAAGGACAAATATGATAGTACTTGCTCACCATACAATATCTTGTAATCACCCAATATCTTTATAATGGCGCTGTCAACTAAAACTTCCAAGGGCTGATAGAATAAGCCATCAAATATTGAGGAAATGATGGCTACAGGCAATGCTGCAATTGTTATCCAACTTGGTGGTACAGATAGAATCAGGAGAATCCCAGCTGTTCCTACTGCAGTCAGAAGACCTGTAAATACGCCATGTAATGGTATTCTATGATCAACGAGGTTGATCCAAAACGCTGACGCTGGCACCCGTAGCAAATATACGCAGGCTGTTAGTAGAGATATTGTCATGACATCAAATCTCAGCATGTGAATGTAGTACAAGCACAGGTATGGGTGAACGCTATTAGTGGCGGCATGGGCCATTGTCAATAATTTTGTCCAGAAGAGCATTTCCTAATGTGTTGGAAAGAATAGAAGAAAAGGAGGAAGAAGAGAAAAGAGACACGGTAAGAGAAAAAAGTGTTAATGTAAATAAACATGTTATTACACACATAAACAAACAATATTCTCACATTACAGAGCATGTCAGTCGATGATTAGCACTCAATGTGCAGTGACAGGCTTAAACGGGAGATTACATTAGCGAATGTATGCAAAAAAGTATATTTACCCAAATTAAAAAGGAAAATAAACAGCTCCATCGTATCATTTGAAACGATTCTGGTCTTTATATCCTATTCAAGGTGGTTTATGAACCTTAAAGTTGCCCTTGTTCGTTTCACGAATAGATTTGAAATCATGATCTCTGCTACCCCTGAGCGGAGTACAAACACCGCCAGCAATATATGCAAATCAAATAGAGCTTACACAGCAGAAACAAGCAAAGCTTTGTTGATAATGGAAAACTAAATAATTAAATATTTTATTAAATGGTAAGAAATGTTAGACTGCATGCAAAAGAAGAATTAAGTTGAATAGTATAAAGTGGTAAATGTAATGTAAGTAACTTTTACAGCAATAAATGGAGAGATAGGGAGGAGTATAATGGATAGTAATTTTCTAAAAAACCATGCCAGTTTTCTTGATTTGTCTGACATCGACATCCTTCCACATGGCGACTGAAGCCCAGGTAATAACGTAAATACAGGTGGCAGCTATCAGCATGTATCTTTGAGTCTCACTGTAAGCCAAATTGATACCAATTCTTTCAGGACTACCAATAGCGTATGAAGATTGAACAGTGATTGAGCCATAGATGGATTGCAAATCACCCAAAGCACTTGCAGGCAAGTACTTTGCGAGCTTTTGAGGGAAAATACCGGTCCACATGGCACCAGCAATAGCGGATCCAGCAGCACTACCAATACTGATGACCATATTCTCCATGGACAGGACAGCAGGAACAAATTGATGGGATGAGACAGCCATGACAGTCATTTGCTCACAGATGACCAAAGTGCCACCGCCGAAAGCAATGAAGATTTGACACATAACAATATAGCCAATGTTGACGTCGGGTTGGCGGAACATGATCATCAAACCAACACCCAGCATTGTGATGGGAACACCAAAGTAAAAGGCCTGCCACTTTAGCCTACCATTGTACATGATGACAAGACCCATTACAAGAGACCAAAAAGTAGCACCAATGGTATAGATGTTTGTAATGTAAGTGGCTCGACTGATATCCAGGTTGTAGACGACAATCAGGTAAGAGTAAAAAAAGCTATCCCACAGGTACCAAGCAAGGTAGAGACTGACAGCCATGGTATAGGTGAAAAACACTGTTCTATCCATCAACAGACTCCAAGGAATGAAGGTAATTGGTGCTCCCCATTTCTCCCAACAGCCGAAAGCTATCATGAGCAGAATTCCGAAAACCAAAAAGCACACAATCAAAGGCGACTTCCATTGGTTGGGTTGATAAGAGTACAAGTTGAATGACAACAAGAATAGGGCAAGACCAGCACAGATCAAAAGCAAACCAATAACATCAAACTCTACTGCATAGTAATAGCAAGATTGGGCAAATGTTCTATTGCTCTTAGGCTTGACAATAAGACCAGCTTTAATAGCCTTGAGGTAGTTGTAGTAGAACAAACCGCACAGAGGAGAGCAGACAATGGGAATGACAATAGCCCAAATACCGAAATTCCATCTAAAGCCAATTGTATCCAAGATACGTTGAGCTGCGGGGCCATATGCCCATACAGTAGCAATCCAAGGAGAGGCGGTGAAGGCAATCATGAAAGCGCGGTTCTTGAGAGAGGTGGTATCAGCAATAAAAATGGTCATGGAGAAGTTGATAGTGGATGAACCGACCGAGTAAAACACTTGTGCGGCACAATAGGTAGTGACATTTTGACAACCTGCCATCATAATAAGACCCACTGTCATTGATCCTACCATCAGAGCAAAACCTTGAGGTCTACCAAAGATATTGATGAACTTTGCATAAGGAAGAACGATTAGACCTGAGATCATGCTGGAAATAACCTGTGTTGTGGCTGTCAAGGAGTGTTCGTTGAAATTCGAGGTGACATAGGGCGTCAGAGTTGAGTTGATGCCGGAGGACAATGCCAATACAAACGAGATGGTCCAAATTCTGATGAAAAACATGAGAATATGTACTTGTGGCCTTAGACAATATACTTACAAGCCGTATGCCCAAATCAAATGAGCTTTTGTCCACACTTGCAGGGCAGCTTGAGCACTTTTTACACCATACTGAAACTCGGCGGTACTATCTCTTTCACTAGCAGCATCACTTCCTTGAGCAGGAATTTCTTCTTTAGTACTCATGACAGTGCTATTGTCTTGTGCCACACGCTTCTCATCGTCGTTAGAAAGGGCTGCGTCTACGGGAACCTTGTTGTCTCTTGTTTCTTCGATGGCAGCAGCCGGAAAGATGGAGGGCAATCTGAACTTCATGAAATATAGTGCAGCCAAGCAAGATCAAGCTGTATAAGGAACAAAACAAATACAAAGCAACCTTCTTTATATATAGGAAAATCAGATAATTCTTTTGATCAAATCGTGTAACGAGAAATCTGATAAAGATTAGATGCACACAAGTGGAATCTATTTGAATATTCAAAAGGAGATTTTCGGGTTATCTGATCAAGGTTGTTCAAATTTCTACTGGAGGACTACACGTTCCAGCACTTCTGTTTTGCAGAGCACGGGATTGTGTGCAAGTTCCATTACACCGCCAAGTTTTGTGAGGCTGTAGAACAATCCGAAGACTTTTAAGTGTAACGAGCGTATCTAATCTCTTTATGGTTTTGAACTGATATTGAATAAAATCTAGAAACCTTGTATAATTGCGCTTGAAAAGCTGCGACTATAGCTTCCTGCACCAAGTAACGACCTAAGCGACAGTTTTGAGCAAGGAATTTTAACTACTTAATTGTAAATTAGTATACATCTTTTGAAGCAATAGAGATCCTTTCGGCATTACATCCAATCGTTGAAACCAGAAAGTGTTACGATTATTTTACTCGAATGTGTGCTACATATCCATCAAAGTTGTTACATATCATTTTTTCGGAGTGTACAGGTGGCAGAATCAGATAACTTGTTTTGGCTAGAAAACCACAAAGATCTGGTACAAATGCATGCATAGCTAATAGTTGTATAAGCCATTGGTTTATAATGCATGTTTTTGATGATTGAACACACCAATCAATGGCGTTGAAAAGGGCTAAATAAAGTATGATAGCCCTTAAAATTTAATCCAAAGAATGAAAACGAAAGCTGAGAACAGTACCTATGACAGCCTCTGGCTCTATTGTCACAACACCCTGCTTTAGCTTGGATACACAAAATCAGGCTTTTTCAATTATATAGCTATAGGCCGAACGTCCCCGGTCAGTGGTTATTGGTTCTTGAAAGCTCTCGAATCTTATGAATTTGTATAATTGTGAGTGTAATCTTCGATCTAAATTGCCACATGAAGTATCTTTTAGATCATTGAAAGATATATAAATAGATATTATTCTAACACTTATGATCCATTTCTGTCATCAAAGACCCTAAAAGCGTAGAGTTGCGGCATTAATGCTACAAGTTAGATCAACTTACGGCATTATACGATTCAGATTTCTGAGTCTTGACGCTATTACTGCTCGTTCAGTTAGCTTGCACCAGATTGTCTTTTTGATCTTATCAAACTTACGATATTTAGTTTCAAAATACGAGAAAAAGTATTAGAGACTTGAGCTGGTTAAGAGCTGCGACTATCTACAATAATGCGATGATTCATGGTATGATAAAGACAAATTATCGTTCCCACGGGACTTCAATGAATTGTTACTTTATGTGGGGATTCTTCCCTCACTATGGGTTTGGTGGGCAAGAAATGCGGGAGACAAGGTAATCTAAAATAAAAAGTGTGGGGGCGGTTTCTCAGTAGAAGCAAAAAGTATTGAGTAGTCTTACTTTTTTAAGTTGTTAGTGCGTCGAAACGGAGGGAGAGGAAGGCCATCCTGGGTGACCAGACTAAAGAAACTTATAAAGGCACTGTTTTTTGCGCCATTCAGATCGTGGTTGAGTGTTATAGTACCTATGGAGAGCCTTCTTGGGCATTGAGCAGACGGCTGTACCGGGAATTCTTTTCGAGCGACCGTCCCTGACATAGACCTGCTTGGTCGTGCGATGAAAGCACGAAGAGCATGTTACTGTTGACTTGTACTCATCGACAGACTCGACCGAGTCCTTGGATCCAGCAGCCATTTGCTTGTAGTAAGGTTTGGTGCTTCTGCAAAAATGACCCTTGATGGTAGATGACCTTGCCGCTGGCCACCCTTCTTTGGCAATACTTCTTGGTTCAGAACTTTCGCTTGCCTGCATTTCGCTGCCTCTTCTTCTGGCTCTATCTCTACTCGTTCCCATTTCCGAGCCGCTATCAGGTTCCAAGCCATCTCGGATGACAAGACGGTATCTCATCCAAAGGATGCGGATCACTCATTCTCTTTAACTGCAAATAGAGTCAATACTGCCGTCGTGTCGCTTCAAGATAGGAAACACAAAGAGAAGAAGGGCATCGGCCGCCCGCCAAAATTAATTCAAGCCCAGGTTTTATTTCTGCTCAAAATTGGACAGATTTTGGCTTTTATCGACTTGATCGAACTATTTTAAAGCATTCGACTATATAAATTGCAATGATCATCCGATACCCCCTTAAGCTTTCCTGAAGTACTTTTCAAGGCGCTTCCAACGGTGTCCGTTATAAGAAGTGTTCTGAATCAAACTATCGAGCAATGCTTGAAAGTATGAAATGAGGTTTTTAGCGAAAATATCCAGATTTTGCATATGAAAGCCTCATAAAAGTGGTTTCAGAGACTGCTTTGGATCGAGAGAAACATATTAATCCAATATATACCATAGCAAAAGTCTTCATTTTCAAGGTGAAAAATACGATTGTTTGATTTTCGATAAAAACCATGAGGGGTACCTCATGCTTTTTGGTCGATTTTTGGCCATGGTTTTTTTTTTGGCCCAAAAAGTTGAGCAAAGGTATCAGGAAGTTACTACTGCTTGAGTGCAATTGTTTGGTGTCATTCCGGTGACTCAGAAAGGTCTATATGCCAAGATACGAAGGCTTGAGAGCTGTCAAATTTGGTAGCGTTTCATGCATTTGCTTGTCAATAGACGCGCTTTTGTTATGATACAAAGGCGTAAAGACATTATATGCATTAGTTTAGATTTGGAACATGCCGTTACATCCAAATATTCAGCTCGAAACATCGAATTGAGTGGCACTGTTGTATTGCAGTATCATAGCACAATAACACAGCTTATTAGTGAGACGATGACAGCTGTTGTAAGGCACGTTGGATATTTTAGACGCAATAGACAGTCTGTATCCAAACCTTTCCTTTAATAATATCGTTGCTATATATACTAAAAGAACTTGAACACAAAAGCGTCGTCGTAGTAGATCAGAGATCAGGAGCCTTTCTGCAAAGAACATAACGCATCTAATTCAAGTGATTTCTTGCCAGCTATTTGGCTATAGATGGGCGATATGTGGTATCAAGGTAACATTTGGTAATATCGACTCGAAGAGGGCTTTTTTCTAGCGAAGCAAACGTGCAACACCAAAGTATTCAAGTAATAAATTTGGTTTCTCGTATTTATCATTAATAAGCTTACTAACAACATAACACATCAGAATTTGCATGAATTAGCTTTACCAAAATCAATATGCCTCCTATTCGAATTAGAAATTGCGCAGGCTGCAGAACTGCCCTTCCAGAAGGTTTCAGTTACCAAAGATGTGATTCATGCCGTATAAATGAAAGCAAAAACATAACCAAATTTGACAGCTCTCAAGCCTTCGTATCTTGGCATATAGACCTTTCTGAGCCACCGGAATGACACCAAACAATTGCACTCAAGCAGTAGTAACTTCCTGATACCTTTGCTCAACTTTTTGGGCCAAAAAAAAAACCATGGCCAAAAATCGACCAAAAAGCATGAGGTACCCCTCATGGTTTTTATCGAAAATCAAACAATCGTATTTTTCACCTTGAAAATGAAGACTTTTGCTATGGTATATATTGGATTAATATGTTTCTCTCGATCCAAAGCAGTCTCTGAAACCACTTTTATGAGGCTTTCATATGCAAAATCTGGATATTTTCGCTAAAAACCTCATTTCATACTTTCAAGCATTGCTCGATAGTTTGATTCAGAACACTTCTTATAACGGACACCGTTGGAAGCGCCTTGAAAAGTACTTCAGGAAAGCTTAAGGGAGTATGGATGAGCAGCGCTTCTTTTATAATCAAATCTGACGAAATAAGTCGAATAAGATCCAAAAAGCACAAAAATCAACGAATCGGGACAGATTGTAAAGCGGAGATTGGCCCAATTTTGGCGGCGGCTGACAAGGTCATGCCATGCTACGTCCAGGTAATCTATGCTGTTGGAAGCACATGTAGAAGGCATTGCGAATTGAAAAGTGCCACAGCTTAACATGGCTATTATAGAGCACTTTTATTATAAACTTATACGTCTGATAAAATTAATCGTTGCTCATTGTTCGCCCAAAGGCGAAGCCTAATACGAAATGCAAAGCTGTTTTTCTAAAAAAAGTATTGCCACAAGTTGCACAGAGCGACTAATGCTGTGCGAGCTACCGCATTTTCTCTTAGTTTTATGACGAAATATTGCAAAGTAACCGCCAAAACTAAACGGGATTCTAAAGGCAAATGTGTAATTGGGGTAAAAAAGCAGACGATTTTAGAAGTGCTCTTTATCCTCCTATTCAACTAATAGACTAGATGCAGTTTCCCGATACAAAGCACCCAATTCATCCTGTATATCAAGCATTTTGTGACGATCACAAAACCCAACTTGCAGCAGCTTTTCAGCTGATGGGCAGTGACACTCCCAGCCCTGAACAGAAATATCACATTATCACGCAACTTCGCGATGTAGCTGATGAGTTTGCTAAAAAGGTACCTGTACCAAAGACACTCCAATCCAAGCAAGAGGTGGCAGGAGGCCCCAAGAATTTAAAGATTGGCACTACTGTATTTAGACCTGTAGACACCGAAAATGAGGTATTGCCCGTTATTCTTTACTTGTATGTACATCTTGCATTGCTTGTGAAACACAAACTAAATCTCAAATTCACCCTCATGTAGTCATGGTGGAGGTTGGGTACTTGGAAGCGCAACAACGCACACCAAGATTGCTACTGATGTAAGTCGAGATGATTCAAAATTTAGTAAACATGGTAGCCGCTAACCTATGACATTCAGCTCTGTATCAAAGCACATGCTGCTGTCATGCTCGTGGAATACAGCCTTAGCCCTGAGGTTCAGTTTCCCATTGCAAATGAGCAGAGTTTCGCTGCTCTGTGCTGGCTTCGTGAGCACGGGAAGTCCATCAATGTTAATCCTGACAAGATCGTAGTGGCTGGTGATTCAGCTGGAGGAAACATGGCAGCTGCCATTTCAAGTAAGTGTGATCTAATGTCCTGCGAATTGCTTTTGTGTATATTAAGCATGAGCCGGTAGTGATGGCAAAGGATCGTGGCATGGAAGGAGTGATTAAAGCTCAGGTTTTGATGTACCCTGCTGTTGGGGCTGATATGAGTTTATATGAGTCGTATAAGACATATGGTGGCGGTGAATGTTATCTTTCCGTCAAAGAGGCCGAAATGTGTGGAACTGCGTATCTTCCCAAGTCAGCATCAGAGCTCAATGATCGCTATGCTACACCAATTCTGGCTACAGAGGATGAATTGAAGGGTTTGCCACCGGCTTTGGTGTTAACATGTGAATGCGATATTCTTCGTGATGAAGGTGAAGCTTATGCTTCCAAATTGCTTATGGCTGGTGTATATACAGTCGGCGTCCGAGTTTTGGGTACCATCCATGCCTTTATGACAACCCCTCTTCCTCATACACCTCAATACCTTACATCCATCAAGATGGTTTGTGATTTCATCAAGGAGCAAGTGGGCGTAAGCAAATAAAGTGCGATTTCTATTGGCATTAAACATTCCTCACATCAAAATGAATGATTGAAAGAAACAGCCTACTTCAGCAGACTTAAACTTGATCAAATATAGCATTGGTGACCCTGTATTGGCCAGCAATTGCTCAAATAAGTCATCAAACTGCTCTTTCTTCCCAATGTGATGTTTTATCATTTGCTAGCATCTCGAAACAACCAGGCAGACATGAAATCACTTGCAAAGCCACAAATTTAATACTGCATGCATCTCCTTCAACACGAACCGTATGTTCAATTGATCAAACAGTCTATGCACAGCTTTGTACTCGCTCAATCGATTGACTAGATTTACCTACAGAAGAAGGATCTCATCAAGCTGACTCGTCAACATGGCCAGCAGAACACTTTATGTCCAACCATACTCAAGTGCATACAACAAGACGCAATTGGAGTCCATGCAATCACTTTTACAACTCTGAGTATTTATTACAAAGACTATAATAGTATGAGTTACTCTATTTGCTGTATTCTTGAAGAGTAACATTGACGGATCTACTCGTCATCGCCAAGGAGAGCGAAAGGATTGACTATACATGACAAACATTACGCATTGGTATTCATTCATTTCTCACATCTGAAAGAGCAAACTTACATGTCTTCTTCTCCTTCTCCTTCTCCTTCTTTCTGTCCTTAGACTTACGGAAAGACATAACGACATCACTTTGATTAGGGGTTCTAGTAACACCTGGGATGAAAGCCATCTTTACGGGAGGGACCTTAGCAAACGGACTACCAGCCAAGGCCAAAAGAGTAGTACGGTCATAGTTGACACGGTTACCTAATATAATACGACAAGACAATGATTTAGTTAATTTCTATGGCCCCACCAGTTGCTGTCAAGGAGATGGCCTATTTGATGTTGCCATGGAAACAAGAATTTAAACTGAACAATTCAGATTATGAATCAAATCCCAATTAGCTGCTATTTGATCTCATAGAATTCTTTCTTGACCAGTCGCCAACATATATAGGCTTCGTCTCGCACAACGTAGCAAGTAGTTACCTTGATCAACAGCCATAATAAAGAACTTTCTGAATAGTTAAGGGCAAAGAAGTCGATATAAAAACCTAGTCAAAAAAATTTGATAAAAGAAATTCGAACGCAAATTCGCCCAATCAGATGCCATCCAGACCCATTTGACATGTCTCTAACGAGGTTGATTTGGTGAAAGATGAGGAGCTGAAAGAGCACTTTCAATGCTAGAAACATAGTTTAAATCAATGCGCAATAAGAAATTCTTTCAAAGTACTGTTGGTATAGATCTTTTATTCGAGTAAATCTTGCTCAATTTTTATGATCAATTCTTTGCTAAAGATGATGCTGGGGACGATTTAAGGCTGTATACATTACGATCGTTGTGCTGTTGTATATAATGATGGAATTAGTCTTTAGACAAGAAGAATTCAGTCAAACTACCAGCAATCAAGCAACGTTATGGAAGCCCTCCTCCATCAAATGTAAAGATAACATGGATCGCGCACGACATTTCGATGAAGAATCTCGTGATACAGTTTGGTTTCGAAAAATTATTGGCACTAACGTGAAAGTGTTGCGAAAACATATCAAGGTGCAGTTGTAACTCTTAAATACCAAGCTTCCTTAAAAGTATGGCGCGTATAGGTTTCTATGAGAGGCTTGCATTTGCTGGAAGTTTATATCATACAAATCATTGCCTGGAGGATATATCATGGAAGTATAACCACCGAATATCAATTGCATCAATCCATAGAGGCTATAATTTAACTGAATGTCTCCATTTCAATGAATACAATGCATTTGAGCTTTGAATGAGTCACCTTTACTAAAGAAGGGCGTGGGAGCGTTGATTCCGAGCATGCGGCTTTAATTTTGACCCGAATAAACTGTGATGTATAAGACCAAGACTACCTTCTCTTATTTACGATATTCAATAGCTCATACATCCTTTACAGGCGTTACAATGACTAGACAATTCTTGAATTACTCAGTTGCCATGGTAACTCCATTCACTTTGGATGGTGATTTCGATGAAAGCTCGGTTCCTGAACTCACCAAATTCTACATCGAACAAGCAAAAGCACCTGGTTTATTGATCAGTGGAACTACTGGCGAACAGCACTGTCTGACAATTGCAGAGCGCAAAAAGCTATATAAACTCGTTGCAAAGTCATCACCCGAGGGATATCCATTGTATGCAGGTGTAGCAGCTTTTAAAACCAAAGACGCAGTTGAGCTTGCCAAAGCAGCAGAAGGTGCTGGTTGCTCGGGAATTATGCTGGGTGTGCCTCCTTATCGTGTTCCTTCACAAAGAGAGCTGATAGCATACGTGACCGATGTAGCCAATGCTACCAAGTTGCCTATCTTTCTGTACAATAATCCCAACAGAAACACTGTGCAAGTCGAGCCCGAGACTTTTGTTCACCTGGTCAAGACGGTCAAGAACCACAATTTGTTTGGCATCAAAGAAACTGGAGTTGTTGCCAATGTAGAAAAGATTAAGGAGCTACTAGATGAAGAACTGGCCAAACAGCAATCATTCTTTACCGGAGGAGACGGCTCATATGTTGATCTCTACAAAGATCATGGATTCACTGGCATCACATCAATTGCAGGTGCTCTTTTTCCTGAAGAGATGATGAGCATTAACCAACATTTACAAAATGGCGAGACTGAGAAAGCCGAGCAGGTCATGAAGACGCTTTCACCAAAGATTCAATTAATGCAAAAAGCAGGATTTTTACAAAGTCTTAAATATCTGTTACGTCAAAGAGGAGCTCCTGCCGGTTATTGTCCTGCACCTCTTTTGGATCCCACCGATGAACACAAGGAATTGTTGAAGGCATTGATCTAGACTGTATATGTAGGATCAATCTTTTTAATAATAAACAAGGAATTTTACAAGTGAAAGAAGAAGAAAAGAATAGGTGTCTAACTAAGTATATAAAATCTGCAATGAAATCTACCAGTTGTAGAAAGGCTTTGCATTGTAGATTGGCTTTGTCTCATTCAATTGCACCCAAGTCTTCTTGGGGTCCTTCCATCCTCTGATATTTCTTCTCTCAGTCTTTGCATCAGACACGGCAGTTGCTTCCTTGAACAGGAACTTGATATGTGCTTCCTTGTGATGCATGATACCGAATTGACCACGACCATGAGGTCTGACACGTCTAACATATCTGCCCTTACCGACCCATGCTTGTGCTATTTTCAAAAACACTGAGTTCATTTGCCCAAAACTTCACGCTTGACAAAACTTACAAACAACCATGTTCTCCATTCCCTTTTGATCAGCAGCATTCTTTCTGGCAAATGCTAAATTGTGTAAGATCTTTTTGGCCGAGCGTTTATCAGAGAATTCCATTTGGCGAATAGCTTCATCAACAGGAAGGTTGCGAATTTGACGTGCGAGCATATTCAATTTACGTGGGCTAGTTTTGAAGTTTCTAGAAGAAAAACGATACTAAGGTATACCTCGTTAATTATCTCTGTGCTGACATTGCAAAGTGTGCTTTTCATATATCGTACTTCTTTTTCTGTCAACTTATGATCTTGTTGTGCTAATTTCTCTTCGGCTTCAACTTGAACATTGTCAAACAAGGATGAGGCTCCAATTTGAGGTCTGTCGGGTGTAGGTTGCTCGGCTGATCTAAAGGCTGTAGTAGAGAAGCTAAAAGAGAAAATGTAAGGCTCTGTCCAGCATGGCGTAATCGTTCAAATCAATTACTTTGATTGCAAGGCTCTGATGCAGTTGAATGTTGTGGATTGTTTGAAAGGCTGCAATGCCTTGAGGGTCGAAGCTGTTTGAGGATACAAGTCAGTACATGCGGTCAGTAAAGATGAGCTTGCACATACTTAGGGACATAACAGACATGCTTTTGATAAGTTGAAGTTGTGGATTATATCAAATTATGAAAAAGTATGAGGGGTTTATGGATCATTAGCAAGGATGGTGGTTTAGAACAATGTTTTTTTGGAAGCCGCCTTCCTAGAAATTGTGACCATCTTGCCTTGAATCGGTTCCTGCATCACTCCGTTTCATTGCAATACTCTGATATGCCTACATGGACTGTCAAGAAGATTCAATGTACTATATTCAGAGATTGAGATATTAATCATTGGCGCCAGCTATCGATGAGTATTTGGAAAGGCGTGGATCTTGAAACGCAATGCATTGAGTTGGTAATGTAAGATCAAGTTGGCTATAAATGACATTGGAAAGCTAGACATACATGCACCATGTATACTATATATATATATATAGTTATATACACGGGAACTGTGGCACTCGTAAACTTACAGGCAAGCAGTAGTATTAAAATCCAATTATACATTAGCATTAAGAGTACTACGTCTCTTACGATACAATACCCTATCATCTGCTTAGATTTTCTCACCACCGACAAAATGCATCCCAATTTACCCCTGAATTTAAGCAAGAAAAAAAAAAAAAAATCCCACACACACTCTCTCCAGATGAAAAGTTTCAATGATAAGGTTGAAAAACAAGGGTTTTGATAAGATTGTCATATGTGCTGGCAGCAGGCATTCGATAGAAATGCGTAGAATACATGTCATTATCACAAGCGAGTCTTTGTTGTCATCATCCTCATGTGATCAGATCATAATCCTAGTAAATAATGCAATGAGATCAAACATAGCCGAATGTGATGAATGGAATATGGACTGTCTGCCTCATGTTAGTAAAGATGTATGTGTATGTGTCTTGTAAAGTATAGTAAATAAATAGGTTTATTTATATGATTCATTGGGGATAGCAATATATACAAAAGTAAGCATGATATGTATGTAGATTTATATGAAATTATGGACAGTATATGTAGCAGGATGGCTATTTGATTGATTTATTCTTGCTGCTGCTCTTCCTCTACCTCGTAGATGGTCTCCAGATGGTCACTGATAGAATAGGATGAGCTTGTTGAATATCTCTTGTTGGCAAAGTAGTTTTGGTTTGAGTTTGCTGCATAGTCATTGTAGTTCTCCTCATCTCCCTCATCCAGCTCTTCAAAGATATCATATAGTGTGTGCTTCTTGTATGACTGTAAAGATGCAGTCTTTGAGGGGTATGTGGACTTGAACATGCCCAAGTTTGTAGATGTAATATATCGTGCAGTATAGCTAGTCATTGGTATATTTGTGCTTTTTATTGTTTGTTAAAGAAAGTGAAAGGAAATGTATCGCTAATCGGTCAGAATCGGATTTATATATCCAACATCACAGCAAAAGGGCATTTGGTCCGGAAAATGACATCAACGAAACATGCGAAGATAAGCCAAGAATAAAGCACCTGCACCTGTCATGGTACCCACCATATACTGTAAGATCTGGAATTTGATAGCTTCCATTTGGGTTCGCAAGCCGGCGATTTCGCTCTCGATGCGTGTGTCTGTCTCCTTCATCTTGATTTCTTGTCCGCTTGCTTCGTCCCTCACTCGACCTTTCTCCAGGTTTAGATCTAATCTCACATTGGCTTGTGCTCGCACAATCTCCTCTTTGAGCCGTTGTCTCAGCTTCTCCACCTGTGCCTGTAATCGCTCATTCTCGGCCTTCATGATTGAAAAGTCATTTTTCTCCAACAGCTGTATCTCCGATTTTAGATGAGCAAAATCCACTTTGTACATGTAGATTGCCTGACGGTCCATAATGTGTGTGTTGGTGCAAGTTCATGACATAATCTTGGATTCACATTCTATCTTGAATCAGGGCATACATACCTTTTCTTGTTCCGCTTTTGTTACCATCGGTTTCGTCAATTCAGTCATACTCTCTCCAATGACTTTTCGCAAGGCCTTCATGATGGATTCACTTTGCTGTCGAGTGAAATTAGCCTTTTCCAACCGTTCAACAAACTTGAATGTGTCAAAATGATATTGCTGACTCAGTTGAATGCGATTTGTTGAAAAGCATCGTCTAGGTGCCATGCTTTGTATTGCTTTCCCAATGTGAAAGCTTGACATTTCGTGCGCAATTAAGAAACTTTTTTTTTTTTTTTTTGACTGTGCGAAAAGAGGAAAGGAGTTCTCTAGTGAGGAGAAGGGAAGGGCTCTTAAACTCCCGATTTGAACACTGATAAGTGTCTATAAAATGTTGAATCACACGTGAAAGTTCTTGTGCAACTAAAGATGTGTTGAAATCCCCATTTATTTTCATATTTGTGTATCCCCTGTTTTTCTTCTTTTTTTTTTTTTTTTTTTTTTTTCCCTCCATTTTCTCTTTTTAATACAAAATCAACATCAAGTAAAATGACACAGCAATCGTCGGCCATGTCGATTACTCAGCTTTGTCATATGAATGAACCTGAAGATTCAAATGTCACATTGGAATCTGCTGCGAATGATACTCCAAGTAAAATAGCACAGCATATTAAGCGACGCAAGGATACCCGTTCTCATGTATTACTTAGATAATCAGGAGCATTTTATTCGTCGTTTGCCTCTTGTACACACTGCATTAAAGGCTTATGAAAACTCCAGTTCTGTTGTCAAATACGGTGCTGAGATGATTGAATCTTACGCTGGCCCCATTTACGATAAATTAGGCTATGATCGCAAATTGAAGGAGGTAAATGTTGTATGGATATACGAGCTGATCGTTGTTGTACAAGGATACTTAATAAACGAGGATACAGGACGCATCTGAGGATGACGAAACTACAGCCGCCACAACTGCACTTGCCCGTGCTTCACTTTACGATCATCAGCCATTGATGCACCAACGATCCACTGCCACTGGTAGACGATCTGTCATGGAGGAAGACCGCAAATCAAGATCTGCTGCCTCACGCTCAACATCGCCACACCGACCATACACACTGCAAAGGCCTAGTAGCAATAGCAGCAACAGCAAGAGCCGCTGGCAACAAATTGTGCTCCATGCAGGTTCAGCTGCAGGTACAACAGCAGCTGTTATTAGCGAGGAAAGTATGAAATGTTTGCGTTACTGCCTGAGCTGGTTACAATACGCAATGCAGCATATCGATCAACAGATGAACTTGCTTCGTAGCTTCTTGGTGTCTTTGGCGACTGGATCGTCAAATGCAGCCACGACAGCAAAGAGAGATGTAGCCATCGTTGACGAAAAGAGCAACACACTTGCCAAGATCAAGAAAGAGATCGTCGATACCCTCCGCAAAGTAGTTGAAGTAGTCAGTAAATATGCTGGATCAGGATTACCCGAACAAGCGAAAGCAAGCGTGCGTGCATTCATCCTGCAATTACCCAGTCGTTGGGCCATCTTGAACAATACCCGTCAAACTTCACCTTCAAATTCACCTCACGTTGGACCTGTCGCCGATAGCCAACAACAGCCCCTCCACGAAACATCGATCAAGCTACTGGATTTTGGTGGCGAGTCGATTGAAATGCTGAATTCGGTTTCTATTGTGTTTTCAGACACTATCGAGAGAGCTGAACTCTGGATCAAGCGCTTAAAGGTGGTTGGTGTGAATTCGACTGTTGCTGCAACATCCTCTATGGATACCAACTAAATGCTATGGCCAAGCTACACTCCTTTTTTAGTCATATCTATCTGCTACTCCACTCATTCTTGTTACCCTCTTATTCTAAATTATCCACCCATGGTCGCTCACTCCCAACCCCCTCCCCTTCCTTTTGTTTTATTTATATGATTAAATCAGATCCCAAATGTTTAGGTTTCGCCTGCCTTTCAAACCTGTCCAATCGTGATGGTTGCAGTCAAAAATTTATACTCAATGTTAGCTTCGTTTTTTTTTTTTTTTTTTCCTTTTTCTTTTCTCTTTTCTCTTTTCTCTTTTTCAGTTTCTCCAACACACAAAGATGAAATGAAAGGTTCAACGCTCATTGGAGATCAAGCACAACAGCCAAAGAAGCTTGAATTACTACCGTTAAAGCATAAAGCAGGTGGACATGTGGCCATGTTTCGTTTGTCAAACGGACCTTTATGTAAAGCCATTAAATCCAATGAGCATTCTTTTTATAAAGATCTTTTACGGCATGGTGGATTAAACTCTTTTCTACCTAGATACATGGGTATAATTCATGTTTCTTATCAAAACGGGTACCCTGAAATTGCTCTCGAAAGTGATCGAAAGCGATTATGTCAGTTTCAAAAGCATGGCAGAGTGTCCAAGCGTCAATACAACAGCGGTACACATGGCAGTGATAGCGAAACGAATGGTGCTAAAGACGGCGAGGCATTCATGGTGATGGACGACATGACGCTTGGTCTGAAGAAGCCTTGTATATTAGATTTAAAAATGGGTGTCAGGCAACATGGTGTCTATGTCAGTGCCGGAAAAATGGCAAGCCAAAAGTTCAAATGCGAGCAATCCACTAGCGGTAAATTAGGTGTACGAGTGTGCGGTATGCAGGTGAGTTTCTATCCATGAATGCATGCCATGATACTAACAATCTCTTGAAAAGGTCTACCAACTGGACAAACATGCCTACGATGTTCAAGACAAGTACGTGGGTCGCACACTGACACCAGAATCTTTCCGTGACACTGTATATCATTTTCTTCATAACGGCATAAACTTGTTGATCGAATTTATCCCAGTACTGATTGAAAGACTCACCAACTTGTACATCGAAGTCGAGAAAATGATTGGATATCGATTCTATGGATCAAGCTTATTGATTGTATATGACGCATTAAATGTAAATAGAAGCATCGCAATGAAGTTGATTGACTTTACACATTGCATCACTCGTAAAGAAATTGAAGAAAACCAAGACATAATGACATACCCACCAGAAAGAGGTTCCCGCTGTCCAGATGATGGATTTTTACAAGGAATTGCTAGTTTAATAGAAATTTTAAAAGATATTTACAGCAAAGAAAAGTAATAAAAAAAACCCCTCCGTTTTATTCATCCCTTAATCGAAGTCCCTTTTTGAGCTCGTCTGTTAAGGGTGTGTCATTCACACAACGATCGCATTGACAGGTAAACAAGTACGATTTGTCTAAATAGGTTTGTCTAGTGTCCTTGTTCCAACGGGGATTGACGTATGTCTCGTATAATTGCTCGCCCTTGCTGATATCACGGATAGCTCTTACTGTGAGCTTGTATTGAGAGTTGCGTTGAGGATAGTCGATGCTGACATTGGGATGGCAGTTGTGGTTGATGTGTGAGTGCACCAAGTACATGCCGCCGTTTTGGTTGTTGATGTTGAACTTGCCTAGGTAGTTCAAGAAGGTCTCTTCGTCCTCAAACAACTTTTGCTGTAATGCTTCAGGTAAAGGTGTTGTGATTTTGCATCTCTTGCTAGGTGTCTTGTAAGCTGCTCTCAACAAATCTCTGGCTTTGGTCCATAGTTCACGAGTAGGTGCTTCCATAAAAATCCACTCGGTCTCCTTGGCTTGACGCTCCTCTTGACTCACAGTTGCGAAAGCGTCCAAATGTCCAATGACTTGATCCAATTCACCACGTTGATGAGCCAAAATCATCTGTGCGTAGATACGAGACACTGCCATAGGTGCCTGCCACTTTTCCATTTCACAGAAACTCATGAAAGCGACAACAGCCTTGTTCAAGTTTGTGCATTCAAGTTGATGGAACTTTTCCCAAGCAGTGATTCTACATTCTTTGCTACAGTAAAACATGTTGCAGTGTCCACAATGTTGCGTGTTGCGATTGGGATAGATCAAAGGCTTGCAACAGAGGCCACACGCATTTCCGCTACGAGCTAAATTGAATGCCTCCCAAGGAGGGAAGTAGGCAAAGGGAGTTTCTGTAAAGATGGTCTCATCCTTCTTAATATCACGAGCAGCAAAGAGACCTTTACCGGTAACTTGATCTACCATACGAGCTTCGACAGCATCAGACACAGCCTTGAAATCAATTTTGGGATCGATAAACGAGACTGGCACAGATGGATCGTCGGCGAGACCAGACTTGACAGGCTCCTTGGCAGCAGGGGCACTGTTGGTGAGTCCACCTTGTTGCATATACTTTTTGACACGCTTCTCGCTCACTTGCCAATTAGGTTGCTTCACCAAGACTTGAGTGGCAACTGTCTTGATACCTGCTTCGGGCAATTCCAGCTTGATATTTTGGATAGCAGAGATGAGCTCTTCTTCGGTAGGAATGATCTTTTCGTCAGCCATGATGATATGATGATGGTGATGCAGAAGATGTGTGATTTTTCGAAATTTTTTATTTATAAAACCAGACAAGCCACCATTTAGCACACTCTTTATCCATTGACAGGAGAGGGAATCAAGGGCTGGGGGTCAAAAACGCACTACTGAAGGATTTATACCTTACCACTACACCCTCGTATATTAAAATATTCCTTTTTATTCCATTTTCTATACATATTCAAAATGAACGACTCTACCAAAGATACTCTCTACAAGGTAATTGCGTCAATGTAGCTATGGCAACAAGCCATTCATAACGAGTTTGTAGGTTGCCGATGTTACAAAGACTGTCATCCACTGGGGATTCATTCCCTTTGTTATTTACTTGGGTATGACTCGTAGCAACCCCAGACCCTCTGTCCTCAAGTAAGTTGTGTTTATGTGCGTGTGTTTGCTAGTATCACACAGTACTAATATGTGCTTCTATCACAGGCTCATCAGTCCTCTTGCTTAAATTATCTTTCTCCCTCACTCTCAATGTACAAAAACTTTGCTTAAAAAACTTGTTTAGCTTAATAAATCTCGACTTATACATATATATATATACACGCCATGCCGAATCTGATGACATCTCGGGAGTTTGTTGAGAAATTTGAAGGTTTATTAGATTATACAGAAACAATAGAGTGAAGTTTATATAAGCTTGTATCAAACAAAGTTAAAATGGGGAATAGGAGAGGTGGGGGGGGGGGGGAGGGATAAAGTATATAAAGGACTGAACATAATATAAACAGAGGATATTTTTGCATATAAAAAAAGTGGTAAAAGCATAATTAGTTGATATATTTTTTTGTTGGTTTTCTGATGTAAGAGATGGCGATTAGGCAAATGTAGATCATAAATAAGCATTATGCGATTGTTGATAAGCATTGAGGGGCCAGTCTGTTGATAAAAAGAAATCATCATCCTTTAGAAACTCGATATTGGGTGCTGCAGTCGTTGCTGGCTGGTTCACTTGAGTTGTGTTGGTATCTTCCAATAGAGGCTGGTGAAGTTGTGTGTCGAAATCATCCACAACGAAAAAGGAAGGCACTTGGTGCTGATGAGGATGTAGTAGCTTTTTCTGTTGCTGCTGTGCTTGTTGTGTCGACTTGGGCCTTTGCTGCTGTTGCTGCTGTTGTTGTTTATCTCGCTGAGCATCTACTTCTTCGACCTCCTCTTCATCTGATGTGATATAACTTTGAGATGATGTGTCATCGGCTGCATCTTTGCGCTTCTGTTCAGTTCGCTGCTGACGGTCCTCCTTGTACTTGATTTGCATCCAACGCGTACGGCACTGTCTCTGTGTTCTACCTGGAATAGTCTCTGCTATTCTAATCCAGCAACGGCCAAAATCACTGACGCCCATACGCAGTAAAGCATCCTCCTCCACGCCCCATTTCCCCTTGCGAACATAGGGATCCAGTGCTTCTGTCCACCTTGCTTGACATTGGATACCTGTGCGGTTGGGAATTCGCTCTGCAATCTTATTCCATGGTATAGGTTGCACTCTGCCTTCACTATCAGTAACACTCGCGTATTCCAATACAGAGTACCGTAAAATAGCATCCTCATTTTCGGTCCAGCGACCCTTGTGAATGTTGGGGCTAGAGAGAAAACGATGATTAATACATGGCATAACAATTGAAGGAAAGAGAGATTTACTTGAGAGCACCCAGCCATCGTGTGGAGCATTGCATTGGCGTACGATTTGGTACATGCGAGGCAATCAGAGACCATTTATGAGGACCGTGTAACTGAACAGCCTGACGGAGCAGCTCGTCTTCTTCCAGTGTCCAGCGAGAGTAAGTAGAAGGTCGCTTGTTTCGTTTGACTGAGTGGCTTCGAGTTGTCGTGACAATAGGTGACATGTATGGTGCCCATCGAGGAGGCTCATATCCTCCGAGCGAGTAGCGTCTCTTGCTACCAACAGGTGACATCTAAAAGAAAGAGATACATGAGTCAATATTGTTTTATGTACAATGAAAAAGTCGACATTTACCAAATAGGGAGATGGACAAGCAGACAATCCCCCATAATGAGGGTCGTAATCAGATAAGGTTGGTGTCTACCATGACAAGTGATAAGTACAATGATGTAGATGTGTCTGTGCTCGGAAAATTACATACAAGTGCCTGAATTACACCCTCTACTTTAAGCACAGGTTGTGGTTGTACGAGGCCTGCCATGATTTGATGATGTTCCTGAGATGATGCAGTAGAAAATGCCTAGATACAAATAAAATGAGCTCTCGTTCAACGCAGCCAAACACATGTCAAGTATATTGTACCTGTTGTACACTCAAATCATGCTGAAAGTCCTATTCAAACACACTGATTAAATTGGGTACTCTTATGCTAATCGACAGCAGCTTTAGCTTACTTCAGCATTGTGATCCCAGTTGTTGTTGTCGAATAAATCCATGCTTATGTTACGTTTGAAGAGATGAAAGGAAGAAAAAGAAAAAGATAGAAGAGAAGCAGAAATGAATACGATTTTATATAAAAAACAAAAAAAGAGGATCAATTTAAAGGATTTGACAATGAGCACTTTCTGATCACCTTTGGGACCTTTTGGGATTTTATTTCCGTACATCAAGTATGTAAATATACGTCGATCAAAAGTCTTTGTCGCTCATTTATGCCAATGATGGTGTACGGACATATATTCATCTAATTACTGTCATTTGGTTATAAAAGGGAACAGTGGATACATGATAATGGTGGACGCAGTAGCAGCGCTCTTTGTGCGTACTACAATCAATGTGGATGTGATGTATATATCTGCATGATACAAACCAATTTGAATCTAGAAAAAGTGTTCTTGTTTGTATATATGGATAAACTATAGGGGCCATTGTCAAAATGTTCCCGGGTGTTTATGAATCTCAATTAGCAATAATGGCAAATCTGCATGAGTGGTTAATCGTTGCAACAATGAATTGTGCTTGTATCAGGACCAACAAGTATAGACAGTGCAGTTAAATATGTAATTCCGGGAGATCTCTGTTTCATCAGCATGCATAAATTGGATCGAAAGAGTCATGCTTCAATGATCTTGTTCTCTTTCTCGAGCCTGAACATGCGGAATTTTAAGAAAATAGCATTTACAAGATTCTAGAACTAACAGCTTGTATTTCAATGAAACTTTCCACATATGCTGTTCAGCATGTTATCTGTGGTCTTAAAACTTATGTATGCTCTACCTGCTTAGTATTATGATGGCTTCAGTCGGTGTTATATATGCCAAACTCACCATTGTAGCAGTATGCTTCGGCTTCAATTCCGATTTTTCGCCCCCCCCCCCTCTCCTCCACGTTTTTTGGTTTGAAGAAATCACTTCATCTTACGCGTTGATGCTGAAATTTCACATTTTAACCTTCCACTGTCATGTGAAAGGCCTCTGTAATTATGGATCTGACCCTCCTAAGATGCACCACGCTTGTATTAACGGAAACACTATATATATACGGGCAAATATTCTACTTGCATTGCCTCTAAATACTTCAAAATATGCAAAACGCAGTAAGAATCTGAATGCATTTAAGCAGTAATTTCCTGTGTTAGAAGCCATTTTAAACTGCCAGAATAGCGCCAGACACTTGCTTTCATCCAGCACTAACTTCTTGGCACCTTTGCTCAACTTTTTGAGGACCAAAAAGACATGGCCAAAATTCGACCAAACAGCATGAGATTACCCCTCATGGTTTTCATTGAAAATCAAACGACCGTGTTTTTGACCTTGAAAATGAAGACTTTTACTACGGTATACCTTGAATCAAAATGTTTCTATCGATTTAACGTAACCACTGAAATCATCTTTGCGGGATTTGATGTGTAAAAAATTCGACTTTTTGGCCAGAAATCTTTTTTCATATTTTCGTAAAACACTCAATAAGTTTATTCAAAACATTTATTTTACTTGGCACCATTGGAAGCGTCTTGAAAAGTACTTCAAGAAAGCTTAAAGAAGCATGGGTTGATCGTGATATTTTATATAGTCGAATATGGCAAAATAGTTCAATCAAGTCGCAAATTTATCGAAAATTTTCATTTTGAGTGAGAAAATTGTTCGTCGAAGATTGGCCAGGTTTGGCTGGCAAAAATAATGTCATGCCTATTGTATGGAAGCTTGCAAAAGAACGATTGCGTATGAACCACTTACTCTGGTTACTATACTTTGATTTTGTTGCACGCTTTCATATATGACGAGCTCAATCATTTCAAACCCACTCATCCAAATGCAAACCATTTTATGCAAGATGAATACGCATTTTTACTGTAGTTGGCCAAATTCAAAGCTTTTTATATAGGCACAAATAGTATATAACTGAAAGATTGAGAGTAATTTCTTGTCTTCAAGATCAATTCCGGCAATGGATTTGATATCAAAGTGTCGAGAGGTTACATCTCATTATCAATTCATCGCGGCAGTGGTCTCGCTGTTTTACAAACTCATCAACCTAATTACAAAGATCGCTCCTTTCCAATGAAATTTTTTCCATTATTCTTTCTTCTTACCAAACACGCGTTTGAAAATGGTTTACGTTTGCGTTTTCTCAGGATGAAACCACCCACATGGCATTAAAACTACCCCCAAGAAATATCTAACAAAAGGCCTAACTTGACTTATAGTCTGATGATACCGTCGAGGATTTTGAAACAATTGCGTATTGTTCATGATATAGATATTTCTAGTTTTATACAGTCTGTGTGTTGGGAAGGAATAGTTTCATCCTGGTGATAACCACTGTAGCTCAAAGCTCGAATGTGCATGTGTTTGATGACGATTAGAAATGAATTGTAATTGATATGATTATAACAGAGGTCCAGAATGTTGTATTAGAATTTATTCAATACAACTAGTGTTGGTTTTAACTTGATCTTATATGATCGATTACAGATTAATGTTTAGAGGTTGAGGGAAATATAATAACAAAGAATTTACAGTGATCTTATATATGATGAATATTAAAGGGAATGGATGGGGAGGGTCATAGTATAGTAATTTTAAATTTTTGCACATGTAATAAAAGATCTTTTACAAGATACCCTACATTCAATCATTCAATCACTGTTTTTACCTAAAGGAACAACATTGTGCTTACCTGCGAATAATATTGATATGTATCGTAAAGTCGAGTAAACACATTACAGCAACTACTCATGATCAATTTTTCTACAAACGTCTCTACTTGAGGTTCTGTCAACTGTAGTTGGAAACGGTCCCTGAGAGCGGATAGAGCATGTTGACCGCCGTTCTGGAAACAGGGTAACTTTGATTCTTTCGACATCATCTCAGTCAACAGCAAGATGTTATCGCTGTGCTTGCGAACAGCCAAGAAGGCTTGCTTTGTCAGTGCCTTGTATTGATCAAACAGGGGGCTATTTACACCACCCAAGATGTCAATGTACTCTTGTGGTAATTTGAAGGGAGCCATCTCAAAGCCAACAGAACCAGGAGAATTGGACAAGATGAATCCAAAATCGATATGAATAATATGACCTGCATCATCAATCAACAAATTGCCGTTGTGCCGATCCTTGATCTGCATTATATAGGACGCAATTGAATAGCCAGCCAAACTCTTCATGAATGCAAGCTGTGCCTTTTTGTAACTCTCGCTTTCAGGTGATCCCCAACGCTATATAAATGCAAGTTAGTACTTTCTTTCTTCACATTAACCGCGCCAAGACTTGCTCTGGTATAATAATCTTTGAGTGAAAATACGGCGCCTTCCTCATTCCATTTTCGAGTGTAAGCTTCCTTCTTGATGGAATGGATTGATATCGAATTTTTGACTGTTTCAATCAGACCCGAATCGTCTGAAGTGACCAACACTCGGATACTAAATAAACGCTTTGAATAGCATGATCTCTACATGATGATGCAAAACTTACTACTGAACCCAAACATCCGTCTTGGTATCCTGCCAAATCTTTTGCATTTCTCGGATTAGTTGAATAGCAAATTGCTCTTGTCGAAGATCAGCTCCATTCTTTACGATAACAGAGATCAAACGCCAGTTCGGCAAATGACCGTAGGGTGATGCAGCTCGGATACGCTCTTTCTTTGCCTCCCAATTCTCTGAAAATACAGCTGCACTCGGATCTTCCTTGTTTGCTACCATGGCAACACGCACTTCATCGTCCAATTTCCGCTCGTTGCCAGCACCTTCTCCTCCGCCTCCTCCAACGCCTTTATCTACACCTTCCAAAGCCATTTTTTCCATACGATCGTCTTCCAACGCCATCATCTCAGCAATAATCTTCTGTCGAATGCCCTCTGTGCTGGCTCGAATAGTGACATTATCTTGTTGTGAAGGATGGTTCAATTGAAGCTGGGCCAAAAGAATAGCTGCCGTCTTCATTTTTTCTGCAAATTCTTCCGCATCAAAATGGGCATGTTCATGTTCCTGATCCGAACTTCCATCTTTGACATCTTGTTCATTCAAGGCACTAGGCTCTTCAATCATCATGTCCGCGTGGTGTGTATTGTGATGAATCTCAATAGCAGCTGTGCCAATAGTGGACGTGGAGGCTGAGCTCATGAGGTCCATACTGCGAGAACTGGTGGGTGATCCAAGATCGCCTATATCCACCGCATCGTCGTCGTCTAGAGGTTGTTTCTTTTTACTGCTTCCAACCGAGAACCGTTGACTCTTTCGTTTGTTCTTTTTGATTTTGCTTAATGATGACTTGAATCCGTTCTCCAAACTAAGCTCATCATCCAAAACTTCAATCATCAGTAAATATGGTGCCTATACGATACCTCAGGGGTAAGACGATTGCTAGCCATTTCAATGCACACGAAAAAAAAAACTTACTCTTTCTGCAGAATTCAGAACAACAGCATCCGTGGGACTGATTCTAACAATACGATGATGATAAGGCCTATCCACAGTCGCAGGGCACCATAATGGCATACAAATTTCAGCAGGCAAATTGTGATTCAATAGGGTCAATTCTGCATGTAGGGCACTCAATCTAGCTGGTTTCGGCACAATAACGAGTCGAGTGGCAATGTCTACCAAGGCTAGTAGAAACTGCATCTCGGAACGAAAGTAATTTGATCGGAGCAAATGGCGACGATCATCTATGCTCAACTTGGCCAAGGCGTACACTTCATCATCATCAGAACTGCTATTGTTGACCAGATCGTCTTCTTCGGGGTGATAGTAACGCTGTAGGTCGGCTGAAGCAGACCGTTTGGGCGGACTCTGGCCCAGGGCTTCCTCTGATGAAATAGAGCGACATGGCGTAGTGGGTGTTGTTGGTGTTGTAGGCGTTGTAGGCGTGGTGGGTGAGTTGGCTAATGGCACAGACGATTGAGCCATGGCTTTCATACTGTTGGCATTCATTCCTCTGCCCATCAACAGCTGGGGTGGCGCATTGGCATCGTGCGAGACCAATGTGGAACGGACTGTATGATTAATTTTTTGTTGAGCCTGTTTCAGATACCGAGATACACTAAATGCCTTGCCTCTATGCAAATCTTCTAACGAAACTGTAAAGTGGTTTGAATCGCCCAAGATAGATGAAAATGCTGATGCTGATTTGGGCCGACTAGTATTCTTTTTAAGGGGCAGTTGTGGATTAGACGATGATTGAAACGGCAGTCTTTGCAAATCACCACTGGCTTTGGAGGGGGATGAGACGGAAGGATCGTCGGATTCGGTTTCATCCATGGTATTGCGTCGACTAATGATGGAGGCGTCCACTGAATTCAAGGCTGTGCGTGGTTTACGACCTTGTGCAATAGCTACACTACCCACTGGCTTTGTTGAAAGGGGTTGTCCAATACCAGCAAGCATTGCACCCATGCCTACTAATGCCGGGAATGCATTCTCGCGCACACGCTGTGTCTGCTCCAGTCTATTTGACCCATCTTGATCATCCTCTGCAAAAATGATGGCTTGGCATCTGTTGAATACTCTTTTACTCAGCTGAAATGAGGGATTCTGAGGGTTTGCTGCCAAGTCCGATAGATATGCTTGTAAATACCATAGACTCTATTCAAGCCAATGTCAGAATTGCGGTGCCTACATGTCTCCTGTTGGTCTTACCATGACAGCAATATGGGTTGATTGCTCACATGCGTCTATAATATAGCACTCGAGAGCAACAGATTCTGTTGGACGGGTGATTAAAAGATGCCTACATGATAATATTAGTCAAAATTGCCTTGTATCACACCCAATGATAGTATGGAAACATATAACACTTACATGAGTTGAGGCAAGAAAAACTCGATTTCAGCAATAGGAAACTTTCTCAACTGGGTACACAGGTAGTGCTGAATACCAACGTTGTCAGGATATCGAAATATATACGAAATAGCAATCCAGGCATTAAAGTATTCAGACGTAAATAGTCGCAATAATAAAGCGTTCGACATGGCTGTAGAATGTTGACAGAACAAAGGGAGATTAATCTGATATGTTGTTGCTGTAGTAATAGGCCAATTTGATTATCATGTAATTTTGGTATAATTTCAACTATTGTCGCTATCAGGTCAATACAATCTAGACATCTCTTTCGCTGTATCCAGAAATTTACCCTCTTTTTCTCTTCTGTATTGAAGTTCTCGGCGTAAAAGTCTTTCTGGTTTGAGTTTGATGTGCTTTCGTTAGCAGGACGGCAAAAGGCGAAAAAGTGAAAAAGAAAACAGAAAAAGAGAGGAAGGAATGGACCATACTTCAAAAAAAGAGTGTTTGGGAATTAAAGGCTCATAATACTGGTCGGCCAATGAATCATTGTCCTGACAACCAAGAAAGCGTCTGAATGTGAAGGCGATGAGTAGCCAGCGAAAAGTAGCCTGAACAATGGTTACTTGCACAAGCATCATCTAGTATGGAGTTTATGCACATATTTATTTAGCAAGTTGTCATACATAAACAATCAGAAATCAACAGAGAAATTCTTCGACGATGGCTGGTCATGCCAGATGTACGACGTGCTGGTTCTTCCCACATTTGAGCAAATTTTTACACTATTACTCTACCCTTTCTTGGCGCCACGTACGTCTAGACTAGACCCTAAGATGCAGTAGAATATTCGCATAATTTATTTAGCAACAATTGACGTGCTGGATTATATCTAAGTGATTTATAAACGGTGAAACCAAACGCCGGGTAAATCTAGGGAAGGTGCCCTTTTGATAGCACATCTGATTTATGGCCTAAACATTTTAAAACAGAGACAGAACACAGCCTTAAAACGCGGAAGCACAAAAAAAGAGAAACCCTTGGATTATGTGGAAAATTTCATATAAAAAGGATCTCTAATCGCTCACATCTCGCCTCTTTTTCATCATCTTTTTCATATCATACACTAAAAATGGTTTTGGCCAACAAATTGAACACATGGAGCAAGCTCCAACAATACTACGACTCCGAGGGTAAGAACATTGTCATCAAGGAGCAATTCGAAAAGGATCCCAAGCGTTTCGAAAAGTATCATCGCGTCTTTAAGGGTACTGACAAGACCAACACCTCCATTTTGTTTGATTTCTCCAAGAATCGTGTTACTGATGAGACTCTTCAACTCTTGCTCGAGTTGGCCAAGGAAGCCAATGTTGAGGAAATGCGCAACAAGATGTTTGCTGGTGAGCACATTAACTTTACTGAAGACCGTGCTGTTCTCCATGTCGCCCTCCGTAACCTCTCTGATAAGCCCATCTATGACAATGGTGAAGATGTCATGCCTGAGGTCCGTGAAGTCCTTGCTCACATGAAGGAGTTCTCTGAATCTGTCCGCTCTGGTGAATGGAAGGGTTATACTGGTAAGCGTATCACTGATATTGTCAACATTGGTATTGGTGGTTCAGATCTCGGTCCTGTCATGGTTACTGAAGCCTTGAAGCCCTATGCTCAAGAGGGTTTGAATCCCCACTACGTTTCCAACATTGATGGTACTCATCTTGCCGAGGTCCTCAAGTCTGTCAACCCCGAGACCACCCTCTTCATCATTGCCTCCAAGACCTTCACCACTCAAGAAACTATCACCAATGCTGAGTCTGCTAAATCTTGGTTCCTCGATGCCGCTAAAGATGTAAGTTTTGAGAAATCTATTCAATCAGTTTATCTCCGCATACAGCACACGTTCATGTTCATGTTGCATCTGTGTGTGTGATTTAAACGATCTTATCATGATAACAATCTTGCTAAAATTTTTGAAACAAAAAATTATAGGCCAGCCATGTTGCTAAGCACTTTGTTGCCTTGTCCACCAACACTGAATTGGTCACCAAGTTTGGTATTGATGCTAAGAACATGTTCAAGTTCTGGGATTGGGTTGGTGGTCGTTACTCTCTCTGGTCTGCTATCGGTCTCTCCATTGCTATCACCATTGGCTATCAAAACTTTGAAGATCTTCTCCGTGGTGGTCATGAAATGGATCAACATTTCGTCAACACTCCTCTTGAGAACAACATTCCCGTCTTGATGGCTCTCGTTGGCGTTTGGTACAACAACTTCTTTGGTGCTCAAACTGAGGCTATCCTCCCTTATGATCAATACATGCACCGTTTCCCTGCTTATTTCCAACAGGTAAGCTTGTCAATATACAATGGCATGATTTTTTATTAATCACGCTAATTTAGGGTAACATGGAGTCCAATGGCAAGTACGTCTCTCGCTCTGGTGAAGAGGTCCAAGCTCAAACTGGTCCCATCATCTGGGGTGAGCCTGGTACCAACGGTCAACACGCCTTCTATCAACTCATCCATCAAGGTACCAAGATGATTCCTTGTGATTTCCTTGCCCCCGTCGAGACTTTCAATCCTATCAGTAAGGGTGTTCACCACGACATTTTGTTGTCCAACTTTTTTGCTCAAACTGAAGCTTTGATGGTTGGTAAGAACGAGCAACAAGTTCGTGCCGAGATGGGTGCCAACGTCCAAGAGAACATTGTCCCCCACAAGGTCTTCAAGGGTAACAAGCCTACCAACTCTTTCTTGTTCCAAAAGTTGACTCCTGCTACTCTTGGTTCTCTCATTGCCATGTATGAACACAAGATTTTCGTTCAAGGTGCCATCTGGGATATCAACTCTTACGATCAATGGGGTGTTGAGCTCGGTAAGCAACTGGCCAAGGCCATTTTGCCTGAATTGACTAGCTCTGGTCGTGTCGAATCTCATGATGCTTCTACCAATGGTCTCATCAACTATTACAAGGACCACAAGAAGCATTATTAAATCTAAAAATCCCAATTCGTCATTTTTTTCTTCAACTTGCTGTAGAGTAATTTAGCTAGCTAAACTCATTATTTCCCTTTTAACCTTTTCATATTACATAAACACATTTTTCTCATCCTAAATAAGTTTTTGCTTATATTATTATTTGTCATGTTGAGCCTCGCCTTGTTTCCCCTCGCAAATATCATTGTTACACGTGCTGATATCTGTTTGATCTTTGTAAGTATTCCATCATGCTATGGCACAGCTGCTTACCTAATTTCATATCCGATCCCTATTTTCTCACCTTGAATTGCCTTATCCCGATGTATTCCGGGAAATCAGTTCTTACATTAGGGTTACACGCTTGTAATAGATTGCAAATATAACAGTTTCCCCACATTCGCGCTGCTGATTGGGTTGGGAACAAAAGCCTTCTGTCGTCTACAAAGCGTCGACTTCATTAATAAGCAGTAAATCGTTTTGGATGAAATCTCAAGGTGCGATCATGTGAATAAGTTTACGGCATTTCAGTATGTCATAGCATTTGTTAATAATATGTACAGCAAAATATTAGCGAAGGATACTCAAACATGTTTGATGCTAAAACACAATTAAATGTAAAAAAAAAAATAAGATAACTTGAGTCAGTAACCTGAAGGCGTCCGCCTTAAATATGTCCTTTTGAAAATCCTTTTTACTTACTATTCACATTCAGTTATTTATGGTTCTGGCTTAGAAGCAAATATTTATCAGGACAAATAATACTTAGAGGCATCGACGAAACTGATACTTGCGCTTTTTGGTGATACAATACCAACCTGGAGGAATATTACGTACAGCGATAACGAGGAAAGGTGTTTTTTTTACGCAAAAGCAACATTAGTTAGGGAATTCAAGCTCTTCTTATTAGAGAAAATAAATGAGTAATAATTCAATAAAAGAAAAATTTCGCTTTGTTCTCAATTAAAATATTTGTTCAGCATTTTACTCTCTGAGTGGACCTATTATGAGCCTATTTAGTAACATTGGAAAGCAATCTATTTACCAGGATAGGTTATTACATTCTTATACAATCGAAAAGATACGATACACTACTCCTCAATGTTGGATGGTTTGCTTGTCAAAATATAGTAATGGATTTGTCTTACCAATTATGAGTGTAGCTTATACATTTTTTTAACATTGCGAAATTGGAGCTGTGGAATATGTTAGCCATATTTTATAAATCATTTCGAATAATACTGCTGCAGAGAAGGAAACTCATTCAAATTAATACAATACATGAAAACGAGCTCAATTAGAAGTGTGTATAATGAGAAATCTTCAACGGCAACTACAGTAAATGCGAATTGCCCTTTAACAACTATCTCGTGACATTTTCTGATGTTGTTTCAATTATTATTATATGCCATTATTTTCTACTATAAAAATAGAGGGATCTACAAAATATGTCAGTTGGGTGTCCTTCTAAAACTGTTGCAGCACTGTTTGATAATAAGATAGTTACTTGATACTTATTACAAGTCGCTAATGGATGTAGAGTATCTTCCTTTCCGAATAATTATTATACAAAATCGACCCTACCACCGGAGTTTACAATAGACCATCATAGGTTACACTCCATTGCTTCTCCGATAAAAAATATTTTACTGGACTTATCTATTAGCAAACTTTTAATTACATAGAAGCGCGGATAGTTTAAAGGTAGAATCTTGCCCTTCCAAGGCAAGGGTCGGGGTTCGATTCCCCGTCCGCGCACAAAAACGTTCATTTTTTGCAAATGCTCTGTTTACGTGAGACGTTTCCATGCGCTTGAACGTCCACTGAAGTAGTAGCCTTACACTTCGATACTGAAACTACCTCTTCTTTGATTTTTGCTGCTAGTATCTCCCAAAAGATAACACTGTCTAGTTTTGTACAATCTATTGTTACATATCAACTTTGGTTTTGTAACTGAATCTCTCTTTTTTCTGTAGATTGCCTTTGTTATATCAAATGTCATAGCAAGGTCTCACACTAAAGGTTTTAGGCTATTCTTAGGTCCTTTGGGTAAATCATGCTAATCATGATTTACAAATCAATTGTTGGGTAGATAGTAAACCTATTTGTATTATAGTTCATCATGATGCTGTAAACCCGAGCATAATGAAAAGTATATAAATGCATCCTTGGGATGCATTCTCAATAAAAGTGTAATTCTTTGGCAGATTCAATTTTACATTGTATTTTGACATAACAACCTTCTTCGCTATCATCAAATATACTACTACTTTTCACTGCTTACTACTACTATACTGGATCCTACTGTTGCTACTACAATGTGACGTTAAACTTTTGATTGTTTTCTATGTTCGAACATAATCTGAACTTCGTATATCCAGAAGCTGCAAAGCAGCTACTACTCTGCCTCGTTTTACTTTAATATGTGTCAACTTTGTTGTGCCAGAAGGGCTACAACTGTCTGTAAAGATTAAGATATTCTTGGTGGGTAGATATGTCTGTGCTGTGCAACAACATGGGCAAGCTATGATAATAAGTAAATCTCAGCTATCTAGATGCTGAGGTTCACACGACGTGATAAGCGTTGTACAAGATAAATTGCTACTTTGGCATTTAGAACGTAGTATAAATAAAATAACAACTCTTGTCATCGTCAATAAATTTTTAGTTTCTGTGTCTGATCTTATTCAAATAAGTCTTTTCTTGTTTTTATAATATCGGCCATTATGTATAAGCTACAAATAATAATTTTTTTATTCTTTGTATAATGAAATAGCCACCCAGACGTAACTTAATTGAAAACCAAAGTTCATCAAATAGCACTCATTCAAATTCATGCTATTTGGATCTATTAATGAAAGCGCTCCAATGTACATCAAAAAACCATTTAAAAATACTAAAGTAAAGATGCATGCTTATATCGCACATCGTGTGAATGAATCATCACTCCTGATCACAGTGTATTCAATCATGTTGAGGATATAGATCATCTCTGAGAGGCAAATGTATTAGGCGTTGTATATTACATAAGAGGATCTGAGAATGAGCTGAGATGCATAGTAGAAGTGAGAGGTCTTTATTCAAGCAGCACGAAGGAACATGAGTGGTGCCATCAAATGGCTAATCTATATACTGGTTCCTGGAGAGCGGTAGCCTATGGCCTTTCGTCCCTGGAAGTGGGTTTCAATTCCGACAAATGTTCTTCCGTCAAAGCTATTAGGAAGAACATTCTATCCTGGATCATCTTTGTTGTTTATCCTTGACTGGTGGTTCATGAGTTCTGATGCAGCACATCCTCGTTACTGGTTCAAGGCTTATACAATTATCCCGCATTCAAGATCAAGGTCCTATTGCTGCGGCACTGTCAAATAACTATAAATACCTTTGATATCTACACTAGTTTTGATCCCTATTCAATCTTGGAATAACATAATAAATATATTCAGTTCTAATTGTATTTACTCTGTCTATATTTTGTTATTCTAAACACCATCGACTGAAAGCTAAAGACGTGAGGCAGCTATCCGACGACATGTGGGTCAAACATGTATTTTACTGAAGTTAGTCGTTGATCTTCTCGCTTTTATTATACCGTTTACCGACGCATATAAATGTATAAAGTTTTGGCTTACGAATATTTAAAAATTTCGATGTTTTCATACGAGAGCATTTTTCTTTGAGAAGGTCAAGGTGCTCACTTGAAAGCATCAAATAGGATTCTACATAAAGACATCTATGTTTTCATGAGAACACTTGCTGGGTCTTAGTGCTATACCAATTGTTGAAATGGCTATGATCGCGATCTGTCAATCGAGCTAATAAAGCTGCTTCTGCCATACCCCAAATTTAATGAAGGCTAATTCTCATTGTAGCATTTTTTTTAATAAATAAATCTTAATCAATATTGCACGGTTTGAACAGCTAGAAACAAAAAATAAAGTCAATTGCTACCATATTGTAGACTACTACCGGATCTAATAGTACCAGTGGCCATATATTTTGCAGATTAACTGTGGAATTTGAGGCTTGATAGACTAAAATTCACGGAAAAAAAAGAATAAAAAAAACAGTAATGTCAACTTGATAAAGGTATATTTTATTATCAAACTGACAGGTGTAAAGTAAACTGAAGTCTCTCTACTGGCCAGGTAGATGATCCTTCTTATATACTATAACAATGGATAAAAGTTCTATTAATTAGATTGACAAATAAGTCAACTCAGATCAACTAATGTCTAATCATGCTAAAAGACAACTCCAGCAAGCTAATCATGATTTAGCTCTGTCTGGATGAATAATTAGACTCTCATCCGAAGTACCCTGATCTATCCTTTCTATAAGGATAATTAATATCGATCTAGTAGCATGTATCCGATAGGTACAGTCTTCTTAGTCTATATTAATAGTACATATCTGAGTGTATATCGCTAAGCATACATCTTTAGCATGTATCTGGATATATGGCATGTCTATAGCATATCGTATGCATGTCTATAGCATGTCTCATATATAGTACAAGTCTGTAGTACATAAAGTATCTGTAGCTAGTATCACGGATATAAGCATGTGTCTTATAGCGTGGATCATGAAGTGCACATCTGAAGCAACAAGCTCATATTGCATTAATCTTGGTGCCTATCCAGATATGGTAAACATCCGTAGTCAATGTCGGAATACAAGTATAAGTCTATAGTGCCATCCATGTCCGTGGTGCCATCTATAGCCTATATCTTATATAGTATGAATCTTATAGTACTAGCGTATCTGAAGTCCATATCTTCTCATGATCATAGTATAAATCGATATCGTACATCTAATCCAGTGTACATACAGTTTATATCTAAATCTGGTAACTGGATGAACTGTCGGAATGCAGATCATAGTGGATGTATTCCACATTTGCCCCCACCAGTTTCAACGCATGTTGACTAATTCAAAGAATTATGTAAACGATCAATGATCTGTATTTCGCATTCGCTGACAAAGATATAACGCAATGTGATAGTCTAAAGGTGCTA